TTTAGATTTTAACTGAAGTACCAGCATGGTTCAATATTAGACAGCCTATCAATCAATTCATTCTACATCAATATCCTAAAGAACATAAGTCATATCATCCCAGTTAAAGAAAATATTTTATCCTGAAGTTCAAAACCTATAAGAAGAAAAATAAAAACCTCTTAGAAAAGTAGAATGAAGTTACTTATGTTGGTGAAGATCTCCCAACCCCTTTAGTCAAATATAAATTTTTATGGTAAACTTTGTTCTTCATTGAGGACATTTTAATGCATTCCATTAACATTGCCCCCAAGGAGGATCCTAATGAAAAACTACCTGAATGAATTTCAGGTTTGGATTGTTTATCAAATTCACAAGACACAATTAACTTCTCCAGCAATAGTTTATTAGAAAGTATACAGAACAGAGGGTATCGCACATGCACATCAGTAGTCCAGCAACCACCATAGTCTATGCCAGAAGATTGTGAAATCAGCCTTAGTCCACACCAGTGTGTGTGTGTGTGTGTGTGTGTCTGTGTGTCTGTGTGTGTACGGGTGGGTAGCAGACTAAGTACTGGCAGAACAGTTCAATTTTCATTCCTGTGGCAAGATGAGAGCACTTAGATCCTGACCTCAATTTTGATTTCATGGGGTTGATGGCAACTTCTTTAGTCAAGTGGGTGGGAGTGTATCTCCACTGTGGGTCCTTCCTTTCTGTCAGTGGAAGGGATATGGAGTCTGGTGAATGATGCTCAAGGGGTAGAGAAGGGCCAGCATGCTGTGGAGTATGCTCACTGCTTGGCTCGAATATATCAGGCAATGGTGTCACTTGAGAAATGATACCAAGAGTTTTGATTTTCCCAGGTTTCTGCCCTGGTTTCATATCTCTCCCCAACACACACACACACACACACACACGCGCGCGCGCACACACACACACACACACACACACACACACACACACACTCCATCCATGCTGCAGAGGCATATGTGTTTTAAAAATCCTGGCTTCTAAGAGGTGACAGATGAAAGGATGCAGGTGGAACATGCGTGGAGCACCTGTGTCTGGTCAGTGTTGTCACTGGAGGTCTAGGTGGTGGTGGTGGAGTGAAAATGTACTGGAGGGGTTGGTAAAGGGAGCCAGACAGGAGGGATTTGAGAACCAGATGCTGATTGTTTACATCTACATACATATTTTAATTCAGTTTTCTGGAATGAGCAGGTCCCATGAGAATATTCTGTGTGCATAATTGATGAAAATTACACAAAATTCATGTGCAAACACATTATAATAGGATGCCTGTTCACTGTGATACTTTGGCATTTGTTGAAGGGCCAGTGCTGAGAGGAGCCTGATCATTTGCTCATAAAATAGCATTCCTTTTTTTTTTTTTTGCACCTGCTATCATTTTGTCTTTGACCCTGGATAATGCCAGCAGGTGCCAGGGTAGAACTGAGTGAGAGAGAAAAATATATGGTGGGAGATGTAGAAGTGCAAAGCATGTTGGGTAGCCCTACTTTAAAACAACCACTCTGGGGTTGTGGATATGGCTCAGTGGAAAGCACTTCTCTAACATATGTGAGGCCCTGGGTTCAATGTGTAGCACATGAAAACTGCCAACTAAAAAACGCAACCCATTCTCTGGAAAATTTAACTCACTCTGTGAGACCAGCATGATCCCTTGTATGGGTGAGTACTGAATACCTCAATGTCTTTACTAGGTTCCACCTCTTGCAGACATGTCAGATTAAGGAGTCTATGCTCTGACCAGGACACTCCCCTTGGTGGTTCTCAGTTGAGATGCATCATGGAAGATCTAATGGGGTTGGCGTGGGCCTGGAAGTATGTGGTGGTTCTGGCCACCCACAGTCTGGGATGGTCAGAGAAAGAGCTTCCTGGATTGGAGAGCAGATTATGCCTCATAACCTCTGAATATGCTGGTCATGTAATGTGCTCTGGGCCTCAGACACTTTGTGGGAGTAAAAGGGGCTTTATTAGTAATTAAATTTGGAGTAAAATCTGAGGTGAGAATGTTAGATCCCAACTCACTTTATGAATCTGGGGGGCAGCCCCTCATGAGATCCCAGTAAATTAAATATGTAAGTGGAGATTTTATGGTCTTTGTTTATGTCCAATTTATGTTCCTGTCCTGAGGTACTTCTTGCTGACTTTTCTAGTCAGACCATGCCTCGTAAATGTATAAGTGCAACTTGTTTTAATTAACAGCATCTTGGACACAATAGATACATTATGACAAAATATTCATGGTGAGGGACCCATGTGTTTCTTCATTAGAAGACACCATATGATGTTGGATGAGCATGCATTTCTACAGTATATTGAAGATATTATTTTTTAAAGATCTGTTTCCATATTTTACAGCTCATAACAATTCCTACTCAACACACATTCTGTCAATAATATATTGTCTGCAAAGGCCTCAGAGAATGTTAGTAACTTGATGTTCACAGAATAAGTTTGTTCAGTGGTAGCTCCAATGAAAATTTGATGACATCCTTTACTCTTATTTTCTATTTCTGTACCTCCTTTTATGGCACACTTATGATGTGGCGACAGGAATGGAAACTGTGAGAACACTTGGAATTCCAGAGTCACTGTTGGAGGCACATGCTGAACACACTGGTGAGTGGTGACAGTACACTGTCAGTTTTGGGTCTGGGTAAACCATGCCATCATTGCACCCCACTCATGCCCTCCCCCC